AAGTCAGAACTGGCGGTCAGTTTCAGCAGCGGCTGAATCTGGACGCCAGTTCCGACTTACATACAGATTCAACTTAAGAACAAACCTACAGTCCCTATCTTGTACGTAACCCGGGGACTGCCTGTAGTTATTTCGGAATCAGGGCTGTGTAGACGCTCTGCTTCTGCTATTTCAAAATAGCCCCTCACCAGGGCCATTCTAAGTTATTCCTACTGGGGCTATAAATCAAGATAGGCTTCCCTAATGTAGACGTGCTATCTCGGACTAATTTGGAGGCTTCCCAGCAGTGTAAATGTGCTATTTCGAAATAAGCTATTTTAGAACAACTAGTCTGGAATAGCTTATTCCGAAATAACTGCAGTGTAGACATGACCCAAGATACCACAGGATTATTCGCTGTTTTTAAAGTTATGGACCAACGCTGCCACTGCTCTGAAACTACTTTGAATGTAATACATGTGCATTCCTTGAAAATTCAGGGAGTAAACTGATACCTAGAAGGCCAGATGATAGGATAGATTGACCCTCTGACATGTGCTTGTTAACTTCTTAATAAACAGAGGTGAGAATTTTTTGCAATTCTTCACTTCATTTCTTGAGACCAGACATTCTCACTTTTCTTCTGCTTATCACTGATCTGCAGAGATGATGGGTCACGTGGTGCTGGACTTTCTTGTGTCCTGCTACTTAACTGATGAAAAATACGGTTTTAAAGATAATACATACTTTGTTTACATAGAAAAAGTAATCGTAGTCACTACAGTAATGCGATTATAAGAAGTTTCTCTTCAGAAGTAGAATACAGGTTAAAAATCCCTGGTCTAGTACCCTAGGACCTGACTGGTCCTGGATGAAGGACTTTTCCGGACCAGGGGAGGTCATTTCAGGCCCTGTGCTGCTGCCCCGCCCCTCCCATAATTCCCTCCTCAGCCCAACTGAGCCACATGCCAGCTCCCCTCCTTCCCCCCACAGCCCAGAGGCCCCCACCCTTCTGTAGCGCCAGGACTCTCTGATCCTGGAACATCTGTGGTCATGCTGAACCATGAATGTTGCTGGACCAGAGAATCCTGGATTTTACAGATGCAAGCAAGCTGTAATCTGAATGTTAGAGAACCCTTTCAGTAAGCCTTATTTTTTTGAGGACAAGACTTTTGAAGATAGATCTTCTTAAGCATTTGTAATGAGGACAAAAAATTTACCCAGAAGCTAAAGAAAATGTGTACAGTGGCTGTATCTTTCTTTTCCTCTTGCCTCTATGCACCTTTTTTAGACTAAATACCAGGTAAAGCGACTGTCTGCAATTTATTTAGTTCTACTGTGTTATGTCAGCAAAATACTCTGTCTATTCTTTAGTATTAAGAATGAAAGTTAAGAAGATTATTTAACTTCTTTTCTTCTGCTAGTGGGGGTCACTCAAAAATAAAAATGTTTCTTGCTTAATTGAAATGTTTCTTTATGGTATGTGTAAAATTTAGTATATGGTGACTGAGCCTGAGCATTTATAGCCTTAAAATAAGGCGACTCTGCCTCACTCAGTATATTTGATAGTTTCAGGGAACAGCTTGGAAAACTTCATGTATAAGATTAATACAAGATTTGTTTGAATTCCAGAAACACTTCTGGACCCCATGATCATAAATTTGAACAGTAAATTAATCATACCCTGCCTGTGCTTTACCCTTTTTTCTTTAGAAAATTTAAGACTAGATTAGCAAACTACTTTTGTCTTCCCAGTTTCCTTCTCTACTGAAAACTTTAGCTTTGTGGTTTTCTGCATTTCTTTCTATTACAATTAAGAAAATAACTTCAAATTGAATGCCTTGTCTCCATTTAGAGGGTTGGCTAGTTTTAGCAAAATCCACCTCGTGTATAAATACCATCTACTGGCAAAATAGTGCTTTTGCTGATGCAGCTATTCTGGTTGTACAAACAAAATAAGTTATGGAAAAAGTACTCTTACTGGGATAACTGCTTCTGCATTAAGGTTTTGCTAACCTCACCATGTGGTATTTAACTAATGCAGCTATGCTAACAAATGTTTAAGTATAGATGCTTTGGTTTGCTCTAAAATTTACTTATATAAAGAAGTATTCTGTAAAGGTGTGAGACTGGGTAAGATCAGATGAGAAACAATCAAATGAAATAGTCTTAACACAACAGGAAATGACAGATACATAGTGACAAATTTTTAAAGCGCTTACACAAATGCTAGCAGTCTAAAAATAAGACAGATGAGTGCCTCATATTAAAGGAGAATATTGATATAATAGGCATCACAGAAACTTGGTGGAATGAGGACAGTCAATGGGACAGTCGTACCAGGATACAAAATATGTCGGATGGACAGAACCAGGTCGTGCTGGTAGGGAGAGTGTCACTATATGTTAAAAAAAAAAAAAAAAAAGTGGAATCAAATGAAGTACAAATCTTAAATGAACCAAAATGTTCGATAGAATCTCAATGGGTAGTGATTCCATGCACTAATAATAATAATTTAGCAGTAGGGGTATATTATTGACCATATGACCAGGATAGTAATAGTTACTAGTAACACTATCAAAATAAAAAAATCAGTAATAGTGGGGGATTTCAGCTTTCTCCATATTGACTAATACACATCACCTCAGGACAGAATGTGGAGATAAAATGTCTTGATACCTTAAGAGTCTGCTTCTTGGAGCAGCTGATTCTGGAACCCACAAGGGGGGAGACAGTCCTTGATTTAATCCTAAGAGGAGTGCAGAATCTGGCCCAAGAAGTAAATGTAACTGGACCACTTGGAAATAAGTGACCATAAAGTAATAAAATTTAACATCCCCATGATGGGAAAAACCTCAGCAGCCCAACACTGTAGCCTTTCATTTCAGAAAGGGGAACTACACTGAAATGAGGAGATTAAACAGAAATTAAAAGGTACAGTGACAAAAGTAAAATCCCTGCAAGCTGCATGGAAACTTTCCAAAGATGCCGTAATAGAGGTCCAACTTAGATGTATTCCCCAAATTTAAGAACACAGTAAGAGAACCAAAAAGTGCTGCTGTGGCTTAACAAGCAAGTAAAAGAAGTAGGGAGAGATTAAAAAGTGGAAGTTAAATTCTAGTGAGGAAAAGAGAAGTATAAACTGTCAAATTAAATGTAAGTATAATAAGAAAAGCCAAAAAGGAGTTTGAAGAACAGCTAGCCAAAACCTCCAAGTATTAGCAAAATGTTTAAGTACATCAGAAGCGGGAAGCCTGCTAAACAATCAGTGGGGCCACTGGACGATCAAGATGCTAAAGGAGCAGTCAGAGACAATAAGGTCACTGCGGAGAAACTAAATGAATTCTTTACTTCAGTCTTCATGGTTAAGGATGTTGGGGAGATTCCAAAACCCAAGCCATTCTTTTAAGGTGACAAATCTGAAGAATTGTCTCAGATTGAGGTGCCATTAGAGGAGGTTTTGGAACAGATTGATAAACTTAACAGTAACAAGTCACCGGGACCAGATGGCATTCACCCAAGAGTTCTGAAAACTCAAATGTGAAATTTGTAAAACCATTAACTGTGGTTTGTAACCTATCCTTTAAATAGGCTTCTGTACCTAATGACTGGACGACCGCTAATGAGATGCCAATATTTAAAAAGGGCTCTAGAGGTGATCCTGGTAATTATAGAGCAGCAAGTCTGACGTCCGTACAGACTATAATAGAGAATAAAATTGTCAGACCCATAGATGAACATAATTTGTTGGGGAAAAATCAGTATGGTTTCTGTAAAGGGAAATCATGCCTTACTAATCCGCTAGAGTTATTTGAGGGGGTCAACAAATATGTAGACATGGGGATCCAGTGGATATAGTATACTTGGATTTCCATAAAGCCTTTGACAAGGTCTCTCACCAAAGGCTTTAAAGTAAGTTGTCATGAGATAAGAGGGAAGGTCCTCTCAGGGATTGATAACTGGTTAAAAGATAGGAAACATAGGGTAGGAATAAATGGTAAGTTTCCAGAATGGAGAGAAGTAACTAGTGGTGTCTCCAGAATGGAGAGAGGTAACTAGGTAACTGGCACCAATCATATTCAATTTTATTTATAAAGGATCTAGAGAGAAAGGTAAACAGTGAGGTGGCAAAATTTGCGGATGGCCTTAACTATCTTGAGTAGTTAGTACCAAGGCAGACTGTGAAGAGTTTCAAAATGATCTCCCCAAACTAAGTGATAGGGCAACAAAATGGCAAATTAAATTCCAAGTAATGCACCTTGGAAAAAATAATCCCAGCTATACATACAAAAGGATGGGGACTAATTTAGCTATGACTCCAAGGTTTCTCCCTTCTGTAAGTGTGGTTAGTTCTCTGAAATCATCCACTCAATGTACAGCAGCAATCAAAAAAGCAAACAATGTTAGAATTATTAAAGGGATATAGAATAAGACACCGAATATGTTATTGCCACTATGGTACACCCACATCTTGAATACAGCATGTAGACGTGGTCACCTCATTTCAGAAAAGACCGATTTGCAGTGGGAAAGGTTGAGAAAAGGACAACAAAAATTATTAGGAGTTTGCAACAGGTCCCAAATGAAGAGAGATTAAAAAGACTGGGACTTTTCAGTTTTCAGAAAAGATTAAGGGGGGATATGACAGAGGTCTACAAAATCATGACTTGTATGGAAATGTTATTTACTTGTTCTCATAACATAAGAACTAGGAGTCACCAAATGAAATTAATAGGTAGCAGGTTTGAAACAAACAAAAGGAAGCTTTTTTTCACACAGCATACAGTCAACCTCTGTGGATCTCCTTGCCAGAGGTGGTTGTAAAGACCAGAACTTCAACAGGGTTCAAGTAAGAACTAGATAGTTTCATGGAGGTTAAGTCCATCAATGACTATTAGCCAGGATGGGTAGGAATGATGTCCCTAGCCTCTGTCTAGAAATGGATGACAGGAGAGGGATCATGTGGTGATTACCCTTTTTGTTCCCTCCGTCTGGTACATCTGGTTTTGGCCACTGTAGGCAGACAGGATACTGGGATAGATGGACCTTTGATCTGACCCAGTATGGCCGCTCTTATGTAAATATTTAAGAAGGGAGGGGAGAAGTGGTCCTTAAACTTGATATAGATGGAATTCCATATTTTGTTCGTTGTCCACTTTTATGCCAATGTGAAAATGTATTTCTCCCCCTTTTATAAGATTAGTGATCAGCAGAATTATGTAAATATTCTTCTATCCTAGCAAAATTGTAAATTGCTTCTCTAATGCATGAACAGAATCAGAACAGTCAATTTGTGGTGGTTGACAGGATAGTCTCAATCTCTCTTCTATAAGAGACCTTTGAAACCTCAGTGTGGGAAACTGCATCCAAAAATGTTCTTCTAAAAAAAAAAATCTAATCTCTGTGTTCGAAATGTATTTTAAACATTAAGACTAAGGACCTGAAATGTGTATATACCTATAATTTCTCTCTAAGAAGAGTGAAGATTTTTTTCAACTTCCATTTACACATAATATAAACAAAACAAAGGCAGCTAAACAATGTTTTAGAATAAGATTGTTAATATAAATAAAGTTTAATATTATCAGCTATACTGAGACAATTCCAACCTCTCTAGTCTTAAACTGGAAGCCTACAATGACCCATGACAGAATCAACAATAACAAAATTATATAATAAGGGGGAAAGGGGAAGATCTGTAACTTAAAGGTGATCCATTCTGTGCTTTAGTGGATATTGCTAATAAATGCTTATTAACAATTGTGTTCTTGCCCTCTGTGGTTCTAGTGAGATTTGGAGTGGCTTTCAAGGTTGGTCTTGATGCTTTTAATTGTTTTTTCTGCTTTCTAGTTTACCTACACCAATCCTTATGACTAGGTTATATTCCTTGTTTCCAACAAGTGTCTTGCAAGTACTTGCTAAACCTTCACATTTCTGGAGACCACACAGCTACCATCTAAGTAGGGGAGAAGAATATACTTATAATTGAAGCCTTGATAATATCTTCACAAAGTCCACCTTCCCTTCCCTTGAAAGTTAGGTTTCATTTATGTATAGTTAATATGGAATTTATTCCGGGAGGGGGGCAATATGCCTCACTTGAACTTAGTTCAGCTTTTGACTACTGCTTCTGGTCAAAGCACCTAAAAGCAATGAAGCTACTCTTGATTTCATATGTCATCTGTACAGAAGATAAGTGGCCAAAAAAATCAGGATTATAATTGCCTTCTGAAAGCTATTGGAAACAATGCACTCTATAGATAGCATTGTGGGTTTTTCTCTTTTAATATGTATTGCCACTTTTACATGGGATTTTAGTTAAGGGTTTGTATCCTTCATAAATTACACTTTTAAAGAAGTTTTTGCTTCATTCTCAGTTTGTCATGCTGCTGCTAAGTTAAAATTAATATAGGTAGGCTCTAAAAAATTCATAGTCCATGTGGTCAATTTCAGAGTCCTAGGACTTTAAAATTAATAAATGTCATTATTTCAGCTGTTGAAGTCTGAAATTTCAGGGTTTAATTGAAGAGCTCCTGATCCAATAAGTGTGTGTGTGTGCGCGCGCGCACAAGGTTGTTGTGCATTGCTTCTGGTGACAGCACTTCTGCACTACTGCTGGTGGCAGCACTGCCTTCAGAGTTGAACAGCTGGAGAGCTTTCCTGGCCAACAGCCCATCTCTGAAGGCAGAGATGTTGCCAGCAGCAGCTCAGAAATAAAGGTGGGATGGTATGGTACTGCCATCTTTACTTCTGTGCTACTGCTGGCAGGATGCTGCTTTCAGAAACGGGTACATGCCCAATAGCTGCCGCTCTCCATCCACCCAGCTTTGGAGGCAGTGCAGAAGAAAGGGTGGCAATACTACAATTCCCTCCTAAAATTATCGTATAAACCCCCTGCAATTTTCCTTTAGTTTAGAACCTCCCGATTTCAAAAAAAGCTGGTCTTCCCCTTGAATTCTATGTAGTACAGGATAAAAGCACACAAAGGACCAGATTTAACAGTGTGGTTCATTTCTCATTGCTGTGAATTTGGTAGGGATCTAAATATAAGTAAATCCCAATTATATTCATTTTTATAGAGATCTTCACCATCTCAAGATCTGGTATAATCAGAGTTTAATAACTTTATGGCAAGTTTTAGATAATGTGTAGATCTGGTATCTATAGTCAAAGTTTCCAAACCTCATCACAGGTCTGCTAAAATATTACTTTGGATATTTTCTTTTTTAGTGTATGCCGAGAATATTTTCAAAATGGTGGAAAGAAAAAAGCACTTGAAAAAGATGAGAAAAGAGCAGTTCTCGCATCTAGGACCACTTCAGCCTTAAATGTTCATCAGATTCCCAAAATTGAAGAACCGTTACCTGATTTCAGCTTGACAAATCATGAAACCATATCAGAGCAGTAAGTTGTAACTTTGCTAAAAATAAGAAGTTTTCAAAGGAAAAGTTTTCTCCAATCTTGTAACAATGCAATTTCACAGAAATCAGTGCCCTACTGTATTTCTAATGCAACTTTTTGTAGCTTTAAAAAAGTGTGTACATATTAATATTCTTTTAGGGAATGTTATCATTTTTGGTAGGCGCTATTTCAAAAATAGTGTGGAAGAAAACAAGCCTTCACTCTGCGTTGTGTTTAAGCAACAAGTAGCTAGAGGCAGTTTTATTACGAGCTGCAGCAAGGGAAAAACTGGTTCGGACGGGGGGAGGCCGCCCCCTTCCAAGGCAGATCTTCGAATACAAGCAATTATGAAGCAGTTTATATACTATCTATTAAATATAATAACAATTAGTCTCCTTCCCATTACAAACACCAATGGCTAACAGTTATTTAGTTCCACCCAGATGCTCCTTATGTCAAGGTCTCTGCCAGAGTCAGCATTGTATCCTTATCTCCGTATAGAGGTGAGAGGCAAAGGCAGCGTCTAATTACAGATCTCGCGTTGTCAGGCCACAGACTTAGCCTGGCTCTTGCTGTCTTGTTAACAAGACCAAGATGGCTGCACACAAATTCCCTTTTCCTGCCTCCACATAGTGGCCCGGAACCTATTCTGAGATTGACAATTAAGTCTTTTTTTTCTCTCAATTTAAGGGGGGAAAAATCCTCTAACAACCATTGGTGGAACAAGCTTATCTTGTTAGTGTTCTTTAGTATAAACAGCTTGGATTTGGACAAAGGGAACTTTAAGAGGAAAGTGCTTCAGTGGGAAACTGCTGAATATTCAGAACTTTTGAAAATTAGTGTACTTTGTCTAAATAAACATTGGGTCCCTAAGATTATGCTCCTTTAAAAACAAATTAAAAATGACTATGGTCAAACTTTTTTGACATATGTACAGTAGACTTCCAATAATCTGGCACTTTTTAGGACCTAGGTGGTGCTGGATTATCGGATATTACCTGAGTACCAGGAGGTAATATAAGGGGGCATACTCCCAACCCAATACCCCCACCCCCATGCTGAGATCCTGGAGCTGCTGGTACAGCTATGCGTCTCCCTCCAGGCGCTGGGGCACGTGTGCTGAGAGGCCGGCTTTTCAATGAGGTGACCAGGACGCCATGCACAACCCAATCCCCCTCCCCTTCCCCAGAGCCAAACACCTCCCCTCCCTGCTGTCACCCAATCCCCCTTCTCCCCCAACCCTATGTCCAAGTCCCGAAGGAGCTGCCTGTGCTCAGCGTCCGGCTGCTAGCATGTGCAGGCTGGGGACCATGAGCGGAACGGTGCAGGTCGTGAGTGCACATGCGGCTCACAGCGGCCTGGCCGTGAGAGTGGCTGACCTGAGCAGTTCTGGGTTCCAGTTGATGACCGACTATCAGGAGTGCTGGACAACTGGATGCTGGGCTATTCGAGTTTTACTGTACTTCCAAATTACTTCTTGAAGCTGAACTTCTTCTTTGAATGATGTCCCCGTAGGTGCTCCACTATAGATCTTGGGCCTGTTCTGGCGCTGCAGATTGGAATTTTGAGCAGCACCAGTCAGCCGGACTGCGTGGCCACTGCCTCGTGGTATTCGTGCCATTTTGCACATGCGTGCGGTATGGCTCCCGCCAGTTCCTCTCAACTGCCCTCCACCATGGACGGATGGATAGAGCGAGCTCCTCTCTTCAACTTGGCCTAATCAGAAAATCAAAGAGTGATTAGTTAATTGCTATAGTCCGTATTAGCCAGTTATAGTTGTTAGATTCAGTTCTTAGTCTGTTAAAAAAGCAAATAAAACCTTCTTTGTTATTACTGGCCTCTGAGGCTTCAAAAAAAAAAAAAAAAAAAACCGAGGAGACTCAGTCTGAATCCAAGATACTGGGTTCTCCTGGTTTCAAGAAATTACAACACGTGTCGTGAACCTATGCCGATTTCAGACGGCCATTTGTGTATTCGTTGCCTAGGTGAGGCTCATGCTGTGTAAATGCTCTCACTGTTTGAAATTAACAGCAACAGCCTGGTGTAACAGGGAGATGCACCTCTGAACGATTCCTTTTGATAGGGCGCTTCAGCTGTTGGACTCAGCATCCGCTGTTACTGCAGACCCTGCTACCACCCAAAAACAGAGAGACTCCTTTCCAGGATCAGTTTTACCCAAAAAGACTTGGGCCTCACTAGCATGCTCCCCCCTGCCAGCTCCACTGACCAGGGTGAACACCGGAGATAAGCCCGGGACGTCTGGCACCACCTCTTCGCATTCAAAGGTGGTTCTAGCCTTAAAGGTGAAAGACAATACCCTCAGTGCCAACACCACAGCCATCGATGGCACCGAGATGGCCGTCGGCACCGGCAGCCCAATCTGCCAAGACCCCCGTGCCAACGTTGGCACCAGCTATAGCAGCGCCATCAGCACCCGTGGCTCCAGAGACCAGACAACAATCTAGCCTGGCACCAAAGGGCCAATACGTCAGCACCGAGGAAAACCCCTTCAAAGACAAACGGGCATCGGAGCCCAAGCCGGAACTTCATTTCTCTGACTTTCTCCCCGGCACTTCCACCGGCACCGGGGTCACCGGTACCGCACATTCTTTGAGCTGAACGGCATGATTTTTCCACACTGAAGAGCTCTCTGCCTCTTTACTACAGCACCACAGAAAGATTCTCGCCACTATGCGAGGCACCTTTCTGTTTCCCCACCACCGTCATCCAGAGGATCTGTAATACCTACTCATTCACCGATGTCACCACATACTGCGTATTGGGAAGAGCACGGGTGCATACTCCTAAAGACATTCCTCACCTGGGAGATCGCATTACCACTACGGTTATCACCACTGTACTCCTTACTATTCCAGCTATTACCATCGCCATTGGTTGTGTTCTAGGGGATGGTCCCTCTGTGGATGTACATCGCCCAGATACCTGTCGGTTTCTACATCGCCATGAGACCACCCTCCTCCGCCACCACCTCAGGCCTCATCACTCCAACTACACCACTCAGAACATGAAGAGGGGCATGTATCAGATGCAGAGGAACAGCAACCTAACACTTCCTCCACAGACGAATCGTCATCTTCCCCTGATGAAGCCATAGTTCTGGGCGATGTATCGCCTCCTGATGATCTCAAACAATTTCAAGATCTGTTCAAGAGAGTTGCGGTAAGCTGGGAGGTCCAGTTGGTGGAATTACAGGAAAAACAGTACCATCTCCTTAAGAACCTCCAACCCCCTCACGGGTCTAAAATTGCCTTATCAATTGGTATTGCTATCTTAGCGACAACAGAGGAGATTTGGTAGATGCCTTCCTCTGCTCCACTGACGAACAAAAGGGCAGACAAAAAGTCCCATTGAGGGATGGAGTTTTTATTTATCCATCCCCAGCCCAGTTCTTTAGTTGTGGACGCTGTGCAACATAGATCCAAGGTGCGGCCATATAAGAACATTGCAGCTGACAAGGACAGCAAAAGGATGGATTTATTCAGAAGGAAAGTGTACTGTACTCTTCAGTGACACTTACTCTGCATGGCCAATTACGCAGCACTTCTATCGATCACAATTTTGACAACTATACAAAGCTGACAACCCTTATGGACCATATCCCTGACTCCAAGAGGCCGATCCTGAAATCTATTGTTCAGGAAGGCTATGCAGCCGCCAGTACAGATCTACAGATAGCATTAGATGGCGCGGATACAGCTGCTTGTTCAACAGCCACAGCAATTGTGATGAGGAGGGCTTCCTGGCTGCAGGAAGGTACCAAACCAGTTCAAGGGAAAAGGGTTCTACTCTCACTATTTCCTCATGCAGAAGAAGACAGGATGGTAAAGACCCATACTCGACCTCAAACTCAATTATCTCTGAAAACAGTGATTCAGAATTGTAACTCATGCATCCATAATACCAGCACTAGACCTTCAAGATGCCTACTTCCACATCACTATCCATCCTGCCCACAGATGAGTCCTTCACTTCACAGTAGGCATAGAACATTTTCAGTATCAAGTATTACCTTTTGGCCTTTCCTCCACTTCCAGGGTGTTTTCAAAAACCCTTGTGGTAGTGGCAGCACACATGCTTTGAAGGGGGATTATAATTTTCCCTTACTTTGATGACTGCCTTATAAAAGGCCTCTCCTCTTCAGCAAAACACAACACATGATAGCAGTAACCAGATACTTTCAATTCCCTCAGTCTAATTATCAACGACCAGAAATCTACACTCAAGCCCCCTCAGACCTTGGAGTTTATTGGTGCTCATCTAGACTCTGCCACGGCACAGGCCTACTTACCGATCCAAAGATTCCAAGCCATTCAAGACCTGGTTGCAGTACTAGTCACCAGCTCTACGGTCCCAATACTTACTTGTCTACAACTAATGGGCCATATGGTGGCCACAACCCACATACTCCACCATGCAAGGCTACGCTTCCTCTATCTTCAGCATTGGATAGCATCCGTGTATGCTCCAACAAAACATGTTCACATAATAGTGACCCCCTCCGGCTGATGTCTGTGAATCCCTAAAATGGTAGACAGATTCGCACAACCTCCTATCAGGCATCCCCTTTCACCGGCCTCAACCTTCAGTCCACATTACTATGGATGTCTCCCTCATCAGTTGGGGAGCCCACACGAATGGTATGTCTGTTCAAGGCTGATAGTCATCATGAGAGAACTCTCCACACCAATTATCTGGAGTGGTCTTCAATGCTTGCAGACACTTTTGAAATTTTATTTGGGACGCCATTGTAAGAATACTTACCAACAATATCACCACAATGTACTATATAAATCACCAAGGTGGTGCACAATCTCATTCCCTTTGTGCAGAAGCACTTTGCCTCTGGAATTGGTGGACTAGCTGGGTGGACCGTTTGCACCGGATCATAAGTGGGAACTCTAACAATATACTCCAGCGCATTTTCCATCGCTGGGGTTTTCCTTTTGTAGACCTTTTCACCACCTACAAAAATATGAAATGCT